TGTTCTGGTGTCTGAATAGTCTGAATCTGCAGATTTCTTAAACTTTTTTGGTCAGTATAGATGTGGAAGTGTCGTCCTATCAAGTAATGACGCCACTTTGTTACAACTTCTGTTATGGCATACATCTCCCAGACATACACAGAGGAAGCCTGTAATCTAGTGCATAATTTCTTGCTGAAGAAAGCCAAAGGATGACCCTGTTGAGATAGGACTACGCCAACCGCGATTGCTGAAGCATCAGTTTCAAGAACAAAGACTTTGGAGAAATTTGAAAGGCATAGAATAGGAGTTTCTGTCATTTTCTATTTTAACAATGTAAACGCTGCTTAGGCAGATGTACTCCATGTAAATTTAGTGGAACACAATAAATCGGTAAGAGGAGCAGCGAGAGAGGCGTAATGATGGACAAAACGTCTATAAAATCCGGTGAGACCTAAAAAACCCCTGAGTGCCGTGAGATAACGAGGATTTGGCCACTTTATAATTCCTTGAATATTTGAGGTATCTAGGGTTACGCCTTCACTCGAAATGATATGGCCTAGATAATCAACCTTAGATACACCAAAAACACATTTTGAAAATTTGGCATAAAAGTGGTTAGATAACAGTAACTCTAAAATCAATTGTAAATGGTGTGCATGATTAGAAATAGAAGATATATAAATTAAAATATCATCAGAAAAAACTAACATGAACCGTCACAAATAAGGATGAAGAAAGTCATTCATAGCAGACTGAAAAGATTTAGGAGCGGTTGTTAAGCCAAAAGGCATAACCAAAAACTCGTAGTGTCCGTCAAATGTCCTAAAAGCAATTTTCTGTGTGTCATCCGCTGTTACCCTTATTTGGTTGTATCCAGATCGAAGATCGATCTTGGAAAAAACAGTTGTTGAATCCAATTCATCAAAGAGCTCGTCAATAGTGGGTATAAGAAAATGGTCACGGACTGTAACATCGTTGAGTGCATGATAATCGATGAAAGACCTCCAAATACCATCTTTTTTCGAACCTATAGGACATGGGAGGAATATGGGTTGTTACTGAGTTTGATTATACCCTCCTGAAGCATGACATGGATAATTGTTGTCATTTCTTATTTTGGGGAGTGAGGGTATCTATACAGTTTTACATTGATAGGGGTGGTGTTAGGGAGAATGGAAATATGGTGGTCATGTGGTCTGGGTGGGGGAAAGTCTTGTGTTTATTGAAAAATGGTCGCATAGGATTTAAGGATAGATGATATTTCCTTGGGAAGGGACTTAGGTATAGTTTCAAGGACATTGGTGTTGTCTGATGGGTGGGTTGTCTAGATCTGGTGTTGCTTGGTAAAGGAGGAGGTGAATAGAGGAAACTGAGTCTGTGTGAAGGAGATGGCAAAAGTTATTGTAAGAAGATGGGGATGGAATGGATTTTGGATCACTGGTGATAGTAATGTCATTGTTGTTGTATTTGAAGGAAATTTTTGGGATGGAAAAATCAGCCATTAGGGGACCAAGAGTGTGTAACCATTACATTACTAGAACTACATAAGCACCCTCAATAGGAAGTAAATGGAAGGGTATGTGAAACAAGTTGAGTTGTAGGGTTATTGGGACTTGCGGGAAGAGTCCAGAGCAAACCAATTTAGACCTGTTTCCCACGATGACCGAAAAGTTTAGGATTGGTGTAGTAGGAAGTTTAAGGTGTTGAGCTATGCGGGGTTGTAAAATATTATGTGTCTTACATGTGTCAATCAGTACTGTGATGGTTAAACTATTAATGAGTCCCTTGAATTTCAGAGTCTTAGGAGAAAATTGTCCCATTGCAGCTTGGGGAGACAGCTGAAAATAAGTCTCATCAGTTTCATTTGTTGAGATAATCTCATCACTAGGTGCAATTGTATCTTGTATGTGTAATTCCTCCTCATCAACCAATAATAAGAGGAATTTACCGGTAGTACATTTATGACTCGGGATAAACTTTTCATCATAATTAAAACATAAGCTTTGGGTGTGTCGCTCTTGCAATTGAGCATTGGATAGTCGTCTAATAGGCAGTTTAGGTGGTTGGGTGGTTGGAAAAGGCTTCGGGGATGTAATGGGGTGGTGTAGCAGGTTATGGAATTGAGTTGGGCGGGTAAAAGGTGTGGAAAAGGTTTTGTGTTTGGCTTCATCAATTTTCGATTCAATAAGTTTAGCCATCCCAATGGCTTGGGAAATAGAAGTAGGTTTATGAATAGCGATTTCGTTTTGGATCTCAGGATTTAAACCAAAAATAAAGAAATTTAATATAGCTTCATGAGGTAAACCAAGAACTTGATTACCTAGTTTCTCAAATGTTGTCTGATATTCAACTAATGACCTATGTTTCTTTAATTTGAATAATTCTGCTTGGTGATTAGCATAGGTTGATGGACCAAAATGTAACTCCAATGCTCTCATAAAAGAAAACCAATCAACCAGTTGGTGGTTTTGATACATCCATTTATACCAACATAATGCTTCTTCTTTCATGTAAAAATACATAATTTAAAGCCTATTTTTTGTGGTAATTGGTAGTGGTCAAAAACTTGATCCGCTTGAAACAACCATTCAAGTGGATTTGTCCAATCAAACATTGCAAATTCCAATTTGGGTGTACGAAATAGGGGTAAAGGGGAAAGTTGTGGAATCTGGTTGTATGGTAACTGGTGGATAAAAGCAGGATTATCATTATCTTGTGCTTTGGGAATAAAGTTCTAAGGGAAGTCGCTAGAGGAAGATTGAGGCTTCGATGTGAACAAAATTTTAATCATTATTTATGATATAGTCTTTGACTCACTAGTTGTGCCTAGGGGTGACAAAAAAGGTCCGGTCCATTGGGCATTCCCGTTTTACCCGCACTTTAGTGGGGGGCGGGCCAAGAATTTAGACCCTCACCCTCTAATGTGACCGCCCCGCCCCAACCCGTTTTCTTTGTGGACTTTTGCGGGCACAATTATTAGCATAAAATTTTACATTTTTAAGCCTAAAAGGTGCAGTGCACGTGGGCTTTCCCTGCTCCGCACTCACTTTTTGCGGGGCGGACCTAGGTTTTAGGCCCTCATCCTCAACTATGTCCGCCCCGCACCGTCCCGTTTTTTTACGGATTTTTGCAGGGCGGACTGAGCGAGCATGCCCGTTTGCCACCCCTAGTTGTGCCTGAAACAACAACTCTTCTCGTTCCAAATGGTAGAGAAAACTATTGGGGATTTACTAGTTTTACCGGTTATTTAAAAAATTATCAAATTTAAACTATAATATTTTTCAAAATCCTATGAATTTTTATCGAATATATCAAGTAAACTACTAGATTTTTCAAAAAGTATGAGTTTTTACTAGTTTTTTCAATAAGTCTAAATTTTTATTGGATTTTTCAAAAATATTATGAATTTTTATCGGATTTTCTAAAAAGTCTATGTGTTTTTACGAGATTTAAAAAAGATATATGAATTTTTATCGGATTTTTTAAAAAAAAAATAATGAGTTTTTATCTGATTATTCAAAATATTCCATCGAATTTTTCAAAATACATTACCATATTTTCAAAAAATCAAGCATTTTTATCGAATTTTTCAAAAAATATATTTTTTTATTGGATTTTTCAAAAAAATTCAATAAAACTGATTTTAATCTTTTTTGCCTATCGAAATTAAACTATCGACGTTTTAAAAAATCCAAAACATATTGAACTTTTAAAATACAGTACCAATTTCTTTTAGGGTTAATACCTATTTTCACCCCTGACATATGAGGTGTATTTGAAAAATCCCCCTGCCAAAAAAAAAGTTCCAATAGTTTACCTTGACAAATTTTAAAAGTTTCAATTTTTACCTTGAGGCTCCCACATCACCTAAAAGGCTGATGTGGCTTATTTTTTTGTTACAGTTGTACGTTTTTTTTTTGCCATGTCACACAAGACCTAGTAAAATGTCCAAAATGCCCTTTCTACATTTTTCTTAAAATCCCAAATAATTTGGCTAATGCTATGTTTCAATTCAGACCCTCCACCTCCAAATTAGGGCGCAACATCTTCATCTCAGCAACCCAACTTTTGCTTTCCTCTTTCCTCTTCATCTTTAAGTTTTCTTTGATTTCATAAACATGAGTCAACCAAATTGTTCTACTTCATGCTTATCTTCAAATGGTAGACTAACTCCCAAATGCGGCCACAATGTCTCCATGAAGTTATTTGTTTCAAAATCGGTTGCAAATCCCGGGAGAAAATACTGGAAGTGTAAGTTCTAGGGTAAAGGAGATGACTGCAACGCATTTGTTTGGGATGATGAATTTTCTGATGATTTCGGTGATAACGGCCATTCGGATGTAGTTTCAGTAGAACTGATGAGCAAACTGGAGAGAGATATCGCACTGAAGATGGAAGCCATGGAGAAAAAAATGGATGAGTTACAAAAGAAGCTGAATTATGTTTTAGTTGGGTTTATTTGTCTTTTGGTTCATTTCTTACTTAGTTCATGTAAAAATTCATGAAGCAGTGGCTTATGTTCTAGGAAGTTGTAACCTAAGTTAAATTTAGTTCATGAATTATATTTCTTTGTTATGGAATATGGAATATATTACTCTCATGAGTTTTGGTTATCTGTTCTTATATTTTGGAAATCTATTCTTAAGCAATTCTGTTTTGGAATATTTTGGAAATCTGTTCTGATATTTTGGAAATCTGTTCTTAAGCAATTCTGTTGAGTAATTCTGTTTTACAAAATCTGTTGTTAAGCAAATCTGTTGTTAAGTAATTCTGTTCTTAAGCAAATTTGTTGTACAAAATGACAATAAAATAGTTAAGCCAAAATCTGTTGTACAAAATGACTTAAACATTGTCAAGCAAATCTTTTGTGATACATAGTCAAGTACATATGTGATACAAAATGACAATAACATGATACATAACTTAAGCCAAGCCTGTTCTGATAATAAGTCAAAGCAACAAAATGACACAGGAAACCTTCAAATTGAATTTTACAAAATAGCACACTATGTGCACAACTACTGATCAATGCCCTTCCTCTTCTTCCTTGATATCTTCTTTGAGGTACTACCACCAGTTTCTTCACCTATGGTCAAAGGTGCATCAGGTGTTGATCCAGGCCCACCATGTCTTTTAGCATTCCTCACTCCCTTCAATCTTTCACTGACTCTCTTTCTTGATCGCTTCCAAGGCACGGCCACGGGCTTTTTCCTAGCTGAAGGCTTTTTGACATTAGTAGCAGCAGGGTCAGGTTGCATTGCAGCAGGTTGTGAATCATGTGTTGGGGGAGGTTGCATTGCAGTAGGTTGTGATTCATGTGTTGGGGGAGGTTGCATAGCAGTAGGTTGTGTGGGATTGTCAACTTGTGATTGTTGTTCTTCATAAAGATCCATCATATTATTCAGCAATGCATCCATCTCTGGGTCTTCATCCACAGTTCCACCTCCAGTTGTAGTTGTATCAACATTTGCATCAGATTTTTTTGACACTTTGGTCCTAGGTGTCTTTCTCTGCATTATTCAGAAACAGATATAAATAAAGACATTTCAATATGCTGAACACAATATTATTCAGTAACAGATTCATGAACACAATACCTTTCTCTTTAGTGCATTAGGATCTTGCTCCTTAGCTTGACACTTCCTAGAATTATGGCCAAATTTGTCACAATGCGTGCATCTGTATGCTACACCTACCCTCCTCATCCTTGAACCATTCTCATCCAACTCTCTAAACCTCAGTTTCTTAGGCCTTCCAGGTCCCTTCTTGTATTGTGGTGGCAACAATTCTTCAGCATCCACAGTTGGCCACATGTCCATGCCATTTATTGGACTAACATTGTTTTCATAACATGCCCTGTAAGCTTCTCTCATGTAACAAGGGTCAACATATTTCTCAGGATCTAAGTTTTGATACTGTAATGCAGAAACAACATGCCTACATGGTATGCCCACAAGATCCCAAAAACAACAAGTACAGGTTTTTTTCCCAATATCAACAACAAACTGCAATCCATTATATGGGTGATGGACTTGCCACAAATCACCACTGCTCCATGTAGGCAGCCATTCTCCACTAAGATATGTTTCCTTATCAAGCCTTTTCCTAGGATTAGGCATGACATTGTGCTTCCACTTATCAAGCTTAACAACACTATTAGCAATCCTATTCATCAGGTAGTTCCTAATCCATTCTACCATAGTGAGTATTGGCTTATCCCTAGCTTGTAATATTGTACTATTGAAAGATTCACTCAAGTTATTCATCAAAACATCACACTTAGGGTAAAATGAAAATGAATGCTTACACCATAGTTTTGTTGGCACTCCCATCAGCCATTCCCATGCCTTCTTATCAATTTGTTTAAGCTGATTCATCTTCTTTTCCCAAGCCTGGAAGTAAGTAGCCTTTGCAGCCCCCAATAACAGGTCTCTAATGGCAGCTCCCCCTCCAAATTTCTTCTTGAAATTTGCATACAGGTGTCTGAGGCAGACCCTGTGTTCAACTTGCTGATGCATTTCCTCAAAGACACTAACAAGTCCCTAAAAACAGCAAGACCACAGAAAAAAGCATGTACATTAGCAACTTATATATTCCTCATAAATGTTGAACATTAGCAACAGAACAAGGCATGTAACATTAGCAGCAGGTTCTCATTAATGTTGAACATTAGCACCAGAAATACTTCAGTACCAGAAATTAGTGCATATTTGTGCATGTTTCATAAATGTGAATAACTAAGGTAATTAGTGCATATTTGTACCTTTTATTGGTCTGAAATAAAAACATACTTTCTCTCTTCTCCAATGTCTTCCATTAGCAATTGCATAAACCATCTCCAGCTTTCTTTTGTCTCAGTCTCCACCACACCAAATGCCAAAGGATAATATTGGTTATTCGGGTCCCTTGCTACAACAATTAACAATTGACCTCCATATTGTGTCTTAAGATGACACCCATCTACCCCTATAAATGGTCTACAACCCTTGGTAAACCCTTTCTTGCATCCATCAAAACAGAAGTAAAATCTACCAAATCTTAGTGGTAGTGTTGGATGTGGTCTCTCAGTATTTAGTTTGACAGTGTTCCCAGCACAATGTTTTCTCAACTCAGCTGCATATCTCCATAACATGTTATACTGTTCCTTTGCATCACCTTCAATTATTTCTTCAGCCATAGCTTTGGCTCTCCAAGCTTTCCCTTTGGTAATGCCCACTGAATATTTCTGTCTAAGCTCAGACATAATTTCAGACAGTTTAACTTTCCCTTGTGACTTCCTCTTTTCAACCACTAACTTAGAGACCCACTTGGAATTGGCAGACTTGTTATTTAATACCCTTGCACATGTGTGGGTCCCCACCCAAGTCTTTAGCTGGTAAATGAGGCTACCTCCCACTTTGCTACACAATGCCAAAAACCCACATTTACTCTTACACTCAACCCTAACCCTATAGCTCTCATTCTTAACAAACGTTATTTCTCTACCATTTAATACTGACCAATCCCTGATAGCATCTTTAAATTCAGAAAGAGAAATGAACTCCATACCTAATTTGAATTGAAAGTCTTTGTTAAGCAGCTCTGATCTGAACTTCTCATACTTTGGCTTGGAAGGTTTGTCATCCATGTCACTTTCATCAGCATCTGAACTTTCAAGTTCCTCACTAGCATAATCCACATCTTCACATATCCTTGTAGCCCTCTTTGAACAAGATCCTAAGACACTTTTGGGCACCAAAACACTGATCTTGTCCCTTTTGCTCTTTTCTTTCATCTTTTTGGGATCCTTGGATGCACAACGCTTGAATCTAAATGATTTCCCTTCGATCTCCACCCTATTCCCACTAACTGGAACATCTACCTCCACTCGTTCAAATTTATCTTCTTCTACTTCAATTACTCTTTCCTCTTCACTGTCATTGAAACATTGGTTTGCATCAACATAGTCACCAGAACTATCATCTCCACTAGAGGTGCTGAAGTCATCAACATTAGGTACCAGAACCTTGGTCATCATGTCTTCTACACCGTGCTCTACCCAAAGATCACCGTGAACCCTACAAGACATACAATGCTTAGCAACTTCTACAGCTCCTGCATCATCAACAACATTTGTAAACCCTTCATCCGTTTGCGGAATCTTTCTCCATAGCCTAAAACCTTCATAACCCCAATCTTTAACCAGACTAACAGCTTCAAAAAAGCTCCATGTATCTTCGTCCTGACATTCAACAGTAGTCTCACTACCTCCTCTATAATACGTATGGCCGTCTTGCACGAAACTTCCCCCATGATGAAACACTAAATTAAACACACCCATTTGCAAGGATGAAGAACCCTAATCGCAGGGTCTGAATTGAAACTGGCTTTTTTTGTAAGATGAAGATGAAGATGCTGCGCCCTAATTTTGCCAAATAATTTGGGATTTTAAGAAAAGGGCATTTTGGACATTTTACTTGGTCTTGTGTGACATGGCAAAAAAAAAACGTACAACTGTAACAAAAAAATAAGCCACATCAGCCTTTTAGGTGATGTGGGAGCCTCAAGGTAAAAATTGAAACTTTTAAAATTTGTCAAGGTAACTATTGGAACTTTTTTTTTGGCAGGGAGATTTTTCAAATACACCCCATATGTCAGGGGTGAAAATAGGTATTAACCCTTTCTTTTATTAATATCAAATTTTTCAATTGTACTACCAAATTTTTTGCTAGCACTTTTTTAATAAAAATATTTTTAAAATATAAAAAAACGCGGGGTACCAGTTTAGATTTGAAGGGTGGCAGCATAAAATCAACAATTAGGCTCTGACATTTTATATATCAACAATTATTGGCCCTCTATTTGAATTGGTCTGGCTTCTATATTTCTGGCCCATCCACTAGTTTTGTGGTTAAACAAGAACCACGTGTTCATAATCTTATCTTATTTAAATCTAATTAATTTTAATACTCTTATGACAACTATCCTTAATCATTATTAAGAACTGATTAGTTGGTCTAAAACATATCAATGTTATCAAAATTAGGTTGAAATTAGGCTCTAATGTTTAGCCTCTTCAAGAATATATATGAATTTGGAATTTTAGAAAATGAATAATTAAAATCAATCCCTCACGTATGAATTAGAGAAATAATAATAATAATAATAATAATAATAATAATAATAATAATAATAATAATAATAATAATAATAATAATAATAATAATAATAATAATAATAATAATAATAATAATAATAATAATAATAATAATAATAATAATAAATCATTACTTAATATTTATTAATATTATTATTTATATTTTAAGTTTTGTTGAATTAAATAACCGATAAATAAGTAGTTAAGGAATTACCTAACAGCAATTTTTTTGGAATCTCTGACAAGTAGATGAGTAGTTCCATCAATGAATGCCACAAAGAAAGTCATCACAATATCAATGGCAAAGAAAAGATCAACAATATTGTCCACAATATATAGCTCCCTATTTGAAGAATGCATGAATGCAACTTCAAATGGATAAACCCATGCAGTATATGCTACCAATACAACCATAAAACTCTCCCACCACCTGCACATAATCATCCAAAAATTATAACCACATAAACTAATCTGTTAAAATCAATTAATCATACTATTTTCTACCTGTATCTAGAATCCATTGGTAAAATGATCCATCTTGAGTAAACTTGATTCTCTTTTGGAACACCAAGTGGTGGAATAATGAGTTTTGAAACATTCCTTAGATTGAATGAAGAAGATGATGTATAATCTTCTTTACCATCATGATGTTGCTTGCTGTTCAAGCTAGAAGAATCATATGAACTGATATTGGTCTCCATTTTGTACCAAACTATAGATGAAGAATGGTTATGGAGAGAATAAACAAGTTTGAGAATATGATGAAAAAAAAAAGGGAAAGGGCATGATGATATTAATATAATGAAGAAAAGAAAGAAAGGGCATGATGATATTTCATGTAGCATTAATGAGAGATGTATATAGTGACCCAATGAAATGTGGTTTTGTTTGAATATATATAGGAAGTAGATTAGACTTAGGTCAATAGCCTTGGTGGGGTTCAGTTTTGCTTCCCCACCAACTAGTGACACCTGCAAAAAAAATGTATCTATATATGGAATATGTGAATGGGGCATAGAAACATGGTTTCTCTGCATATAATTGTAAGTTGAAGCATCATTTTCTGATGTTAATTACATGCATTATTATTTGGTCGATTATTAACATGTAAATGAACAAAACTATTCATGATATAAGCAATAGTATAAGAGGTAAAAAGATCGGTTTCTCTTTGTTTTTGTAGCTTATGAATTTTTGGAGTTCCGAGAAACACATAACATGTGAAGAACGTTGTATTGTTGGAAATTTGGTATTAAGTTATTAATGCCAATTAAGCTATGTGTGATGGAGAATGTATATGTCTAATTTTATTTTTGGTTTAGAGTTGGGTCTTTTAATACGGGAGTGCGGACGATATCTTGATTTTGGTTAAGGTCTTAATTGAGAATTTTTAGATCATTAAGTCCATTATTCATGTCTTCAAGTTGGCATCTGATTTAAGTGTTAACTTAACAAAAGTCGTGTTATTGGTGTTCATGTTGGTTTGAATATTTTAGCTATGGCAGGCGATATATTTTTCAAAGCCAATGAGAATTTCTTTCTTCAAATATCTTTTTTTTTTTTAGGTGTCAATCCTCACTCTACTGATACTCAAGAACCGCTCATTAATTTAATTACCAGACATTTGTTCTCTTAGAGTCACCACTATGTCAGTTTAATTTGGAGGGTGGGTTTTTCTTCTCAATTCCGCCTTAATTCGATCCCGATTTTCTATCTCTTCTTGAAATTTTTTGCCTATGTGAAAGAATATGATTAAGATTCAAAGAAAGTTTATTCGGGGTAAGGGTTGTGTGTGTGTATTACGGGTGAGTAAAAAAAACCCTTGGAGTAGATGGATTGATGTATGTATACCTAAGCATAAAGACGAGTCGGTGATTAGTGGGTTTTGCACCATTTCCTTAGTAGCTTTCCATTTGATTCTAGCCAGGGTCGTCTCAAGTTTTTAGAGGCCCTGTGTAGGGTAGTCATAATTTAGGAAGGACAAAATTCGAAATATAGACCTTATATAATCACAATTTAATCTCAAAAATATTTTATGAGGCCCCATTTAACTATAAGTTAACCTTGAAATTTTTGAGGTCTTGTACGATAGGCCGCCTTGCACGCCCTCAAAGACGGTCCTTTCTAGCAATTTAAATCCTTACTTTATCACTTTTATGCATGGTTGTTTGCTTTCTTTATTTTTAGGCTATAATGAGTGTCTCAGGAAAAAGAGAAGTTAAGAGTCAAAGTTCGAAAAAATAAAACTTTCACCATACAACATCCAGGGGCCTACAACGGGTAGTGGTTATGCTCTCAGAAGCCTTACATAGAAATATACATAGGCCTGAAAGAGGTAGACATGGCGTAGGCTATGGGCCGTAGCAGCCCTGGCAGTTACACATTTTTCTTTTCTTTTGTTTTGTTTCTCTTGCCTCTGTTGATTCATGTTGTTTCATTTGAAATAAAATGTCCCTAAGCATCTAAAGGGAGTGAAATGAAGGCTTGTAATGATGGGATTATCCCACTTATAGTGGGAAATTGGAAGAAACAAATATCAGATGCTCTAGAACTAATTTTACTTTTGTAGAGTTTATTTTTCGGGCAAAGTATTTTGTATTGTTGTACTTAACTTTATTGGAGCTTTTCTATTCGAGTATTTCTTGATTTCCATTCAGGTTCTTATTCATTTATCGTTGTTCGTAAATTTTGTTATCATGTATGCCAATGCTTTATTTGTTTTATTGATAAATATGTGTGAGTAGAGATTCCCCTAGACACTAAGAGCCATGAGGATTGTCCCATAACGGATATCAAGTGGACCCTCTACCATTTTACGAGAAACAAAGTTAAAAATTATTTTAGAAATTCGAGTTTTTAACGTGTATGCCATTTAAGAAAGTACAGACATTTCAGGTATTGGTCATACGCTAAAAGGGTATTGTCTCGGTATCAAAAAGTGGAATTTTAAACAACTGAGTACGAGGCGAGGAAATTGTCTCGAACACATTTGAGAAAGTTTCGTTTTTATATTTGCGTGAAATTAATCTTAACAAATTATTTAGGCTGAGGAAAGTGGACACATTATTTGTCTGAGGCAAGACAACACCCTGACGAAAGTAGGTATCATCCAATTTTCTCTATTTTTCTATAATATTGATTTGTTTCTCGTAAAAGAACCAAAGGTTCATCTGAGTCTGTTTAGATAAGAATCGTGCACCCTAGGTCCTGCTTTTAAGTTATAGTTTTTATTCGTTTAAAAAACTTGTTTTCAAACTCAAACTAAATTTCAACCGCTTTAGCTACACAATGATATGGTTCAATTCAGTACTAAAATACTTTGTCTGTGGTACGATAACTCTTTTTATTATTTAGATACAATAGTGCACTTGCGGTGTGTCAAGTTTTTTGCGTCGTTGTCGGAGACCAATTTTATTTGATATTGAAATTTTGTGTTATCACTGTATAGACTAAAGAACTTTATTCTTTCTTGTTTCGTTTCTACTGTTCTCTTTGTTAGCATATGTGAAGAACCGACAATGTAGGAAGTCTTGTTTATTCGATTAACATAATTGAGTGTTTCTTTCACGAGAGATGTTGATTACTAAGACAATAACAATAAATGGCTGAAAAGGATAATAAACCCCTTAAGGACTACGTGACTCCCACTGATGAGGTACCACACTATAGCATAGTCCAGCCACCCATATGCCCAAATAATTTTGAGACTAAGCCCTCAATTCTGAGCATGGTTCAATAGAACAAGTTCTCTAGATTACCAACTGAGAATCTCAACCTACATTTGTCTATCCTCAGAGAATTTTACAGCACACTGAAATGTAACAATGTTGATCTTGTCGCTATTCGATTTAGGTTGTTTCCATTTTCTTTACGGGGTAGATCCCCTAATACGCATGCAGTACTTTCATGTGAAGTTTGCAAAGTTAATGGACACTCCACTTCCGATTTCCAAATGTTCCTCACTGGACGAACCGACCAAGACAATGTTAACTATTATAATAATAATCAGCTAGGGATCTCGTACTCTAATACCGATAATTCTTTCCTAATTGTTCTAATAAGAATAATTCTTCCCAATTTGTAGTTAATCTTAGTCCTCCTGGTTTCTAAGGACATATGGGTGGAATCACCCCTATGAAGTCCAATTTGGAAGTAACGACGGAAAATTTCATCATAGGTCAAAC